TTGGAGTTGTAGTGCTAAGTAAGTTGTTCTGATGACTACATTTTAACTTTTATTAACAAACTAATGATGCTAGAGATTCTCTGATCTTTTTGGTTGCGGAATTTTTATGAAAACCCTCCTATGTGTGACATGATGTGATATTGGATAATTCTCAAGATTCCCAAAATTCAATATCAAGTAGGTTTTCTTTCACATTGCTTAAATTTGGTTTAGTTTTTGTATTTTCCCAGTGGGTTTTGTTTGCATCAGTTTCCAAATTTTCTTAAATTGACATAAGTCGCAAAACCCATAGTGCACAAAGTTCTTGGCCCGGCCCGTCCATAGCCCGTTAACTAATGATATTTGGGGGCCCGGCCCAGCCCGTAGCCCAGCCCGGCCCGTGGCCCGTTGGGCTGGCCCGGCCCGTGGCGAACACTGCTTTCAGTACCTTCGGCTGCATCAATTTGACACCTTGTGTCAAAATATGAACTTCGTAGCTACCATAGTTCGGCCGGCCGATTTCGACGCAAAACATTGAACCACGGTAATCGCTCCCAAGAGCTCAGTTTTTACGCTAGATTCAATTTCTTTGCATGAGAGGACTCAAAATAGGTCGCGCTATCAAACTGCTATCTCGGATTTTCAAAATTTTGAAAATTTCGAAAACTTTATATAATAGAATTCAAAATTTATGTTTTCATATTTTTTTCAAAAAGTTTTCAACTTTCCGAAAAAAACGGAATATATGTAATAGAACGCATGCTCATGACTAACTCTAGCAAGTTTTAGCTAAATATCTTCAAAAATGACCAAGTTATACGCATTATTGCAAAAAATTCACAATTATTATTTTTTCAAATCAACTTTTCAGTACGTATTTGAAATCGTACACCAACATAAATAGCACCATCGTGTTCCTGAGCTCAAACTGCATCCAATAGACACCTTTTTTGTTGAAAAATTTTAACTTTAAAATTTGACCTTTTTTGACCTGAAAGTGACCTGAAAGTGACTGATCTAAGCAAAATTCGACTCTAAATGACCTCGAATGACATAGACGACATCAAATTCGAAATCTATGGCCTAAATGGACCATAAAACATGTGTCACGTGACCGACGCATAATATAATATTTCCGTGACCTGTGATGACCTGACCCTGACCTGAAAATCAAAGTACAAGTTTGGTACCCTCAGGGTATCTAGAGCATCTGTTCACGAGTGTGTATACCAAAAATGAACCTGAGCTGACTTGTAAGTTGTAAGACGGCGGCCAGAGCCCAAAATGTGAACAAACCAAAATGCTAATAATTTTTACTTTGACCTGACCTATGACGTCATCGGTGACCTTGAGGTCAATGAAATTGGGGTTCGCTCGACAGTTTTTCCGGGGCTATCAGACGCCGTTTGAATTTTGACGATCGGACCAGTAGTTTCGGAGTTAGGAGGGGGGCTATGAAGAGCCCCCCCCCCCCCCCAGTAGGGCGTGTTATACGCAGACCCCAGTGGGGCGCGGGTTAAAAATGTGGTAGGTATCATAAAATCAAGCTTGAATGGAAGGTCAGGTGCACCAGCTTTCATCCCTCTATGGCTAGCGCGCTCCCAGCAAACACTATAAAAAGGTACCTAAGGGATCGTCAACCGCTCCCCTCTCTTCTGTCGGAGATGGCTGATTATTTTTTTTTATCGAAATCCACGGTGCCGAAAGGAGCGCGTATACGGTCGGGTAGTGTGTGCTTGGCGTCATTTACGCCAAAGTCTCCTTAGTGTGGCAACTGTAGTCTCTCAGACAGCCGCTGAACATTGTGGGACATTATAACTATGTATGGTACGCTTGTTTCGTCCCTCTTCCAGGCGTGCAAGGGACGATCGTGCCTCGAAAATTGTTCACAGATGTGACACCTCGAAAGGACACATATGTGATTCAAATAGGCACACCGCAGCACATCGCCCCCTCCCCTTCGCTTCACGGCAGCCTCCTCTCCATCTTCGCGTCATACATCGTTGGCGTTACGCCGGAACAAAGGTGTTCAATGAACACTCCTGTATGAACGCGGCTCATAAGGCTGCCGTTGCCGTCGTCGGCTGACGGGATCCGCGAAGGGCCCGACCCGACCATTGTCTCCGGGCGGTAGAGCGCGCTCTCCGGGCGGCAGAGCGCGCTCGCCGGCGTGCCGCCGCTCGCGACTCGGCTCCCTCGTTACCGAGGCACGCGTCCGTCGCTCCGGCCCGTTCAGTGCCGTGCACGGCGGACCAATTAGAGCTCACTGCAGCGCCTGTCTGAGAACCGGAGATGGTGTGAAGACGCGCTGAAAAAAAAACGCTACACAGCGGCGGCCAACAGGAAGTGCGCGAGCGAGCACGCAGCGAGGCCTGCATATGTAAGTACGTACGAGACGCTCGACCAGTTCCGGGTCTGGAAGGCCATGCTGATTGGACACTCGGAGGATTATATGCAACGATGCTCTTTTGATCCGACGAAACATGTGCTTCCGGTTTCTGGTTTCAGAACAACGGCAAAGCCAGATATCCTCCGAGAAGGTCGTGACCTTAACCTGGCTATTGTGACACTAAACACATTCGGTAACACTGAAAATTTTCAGCTTAGTGTTTCCGAGTGCAGTCCGCTACCGCTGGGAGCCCAGGGTATCAGTGTAGCCCCCATCGGGAACCCCGGTTCTCTGGTGTCGGTGCAAGGTCAGTTGCACTTCAGATGTAGCTCTGACGTACATAACATACGTTTACATATTTCGTTTGGTTCCGCCTACCAGACCACTTAAACTGATCTGGTAACAGCACAGCTGAATGCACATCAATTTGTGTCAGATTTGACTTATGTTTGACTCCAAACGTTCGCAAAGCATTTTGCATTAACGCGCGAGATTCTGCATGAGTCTGCATGATGCATAACTGCAAGAGTCTTTACCGTGCTCATCGCAGCTCTCTCCTAACTTCATGTCGAGCGGGGGCTGGGTTTGCTTCTGTTAACCCGCGCCCGGCTGGGGGTCCTGGATTTCCACGCCCTGCTGGGGGGGGGGGGGTGTTTGAACACCCCCCCCCCTTCTAACTCAGCTCCTGGGCCACGTAGCGATACGCGGAAGGCGGCGTTCGAAAGAGCGTCAAAAAATAATGACGAAATCACTTCGGTCAATTTTTTGGTCAGGTCAAAGGTCAGGTCACCAGAGGTCATTGAAGGCAAAATTTCGCCGATTTCCAGGTCAAATGTCTAAAACTTCCAAGAAGCCAACGCATAACTCGGGAACCAATAGAGCTACAGCGCCGCGGAAAAGCGCATTCGATAGCCCTATTAACGCCCTTTCTGAATAATTCCCTCAGATTTGACCTAACGTCAACGGTTTTGCCTGCAGGGGGCAAAAACTACAAAAATAGCCGATTTTTCGGAAACAGTTTTTCTTCAATAACTTTTGATCCAAGCCTTGTACGAGCTTACTTTTACCGGCATCGTGTTCCTCTCGTCAAGACGCATCGAATGAACTATAACTTGACCTCAGGCCAAGGTCATGACCTGACCGGACAGGGTCATGTTGCATATCAGTCGATCCGTATCGTCGAGCTGAACACATCTAAGGCGTTTTCATCGCTCTAGCATGCCTCTATCAAAAGTTATTTACGAAAAACTGTTAGATACCATTCGTGACCTAAGATGACCTCAGGGCATAAACAAGGGTCACGGACACCATTTTCATGTTTTGTGTGTCTAAACCACTTGTAATTCGGTGTTTTGGAGTGTTTATAATGTCTTTCGTCCAAAAGAGGCGCATTTCAATTTTCTCCCATTGACTTATAATGGGGAGGTCGCAAAATTGACCTGACCTTAGGTCATCGATATCAAAATTCTGAGATAAACATTTTGTACATTCTATTGCTCTTAGCAATCGCGGAAAGTTTCAAAGCGATCGGTCACTCGGTGTAGCTATGACAGACATTGAAACTTTTTATGAGGTGAGGTCACTTCAAGTGACCTGGTGACCTGACCTTCAATGACCTTGGTCTGAAATTTTCACAACATATGTAGAATTGATGTATGATAAGGTGTACCAAAAACGGCGGCGCTCCGCGCCGCCGTTTTTGAGATATTCGCGAAAAACCACAAGGAGGGGTGTTCAAACACCCCCCCCCCCCAGCAGGGCGCGGGCTAATATTCAAATCTTTAAAACGTCTCTTTACACAGAAATCCATGCTCTCATTAATGGACGCTGTTCATTACAGTTTGATGCTTGTGATTCCGGTGATAACGAGGTCAAATGTCTTGAGATGTTCAAAAATATCGACCTCGCCATGAAACTGTCGGAATTTAATAACATTCTTTCGCTAGAGACTTATGACCGCATTTGTATTGAAGCCCTGTGGAACCATACATGATATTGAATCAGCGGGCCTTCAGTACATAAGTATGTCTGTTGCAAAGCATGTATTGTGTCGAGGGCGCAACATCATGTTCTGATTTTTACGCGCAGCATGGCAATGCCAATTTTTTTATTCGTGGGCTTTCTTTCCTTGAAAATCATCACTCCGTCGATCATTGCCAACAAAGTTGCTACAGCTTGCGTCTCGAAAAGAGAGAAGCATGCCCTTGCAAAGTAATTTAGCCTTTCCACATGAATCAATAAACATTGCTTACGGATTTTCTGAACGTTCATTCTGACAACCGCCGCTTCAGTTTGGAATATTTGACGCGGACGCTTCAAGCATATGAAGTGGATTACATAACTGAAATGCATACTGGATAATTTAGAGAGTGACAGAATTCATCATGCTTCTAATGTTACACGATAAATCTAGCGACCAGATGCTCAATATTTTATAAGATATTTCATTATTTAAAATCAAGATAAGTTTTAACAGGTACCACGGACCATTCGAAATGTAATACAAGATGGGGAATAGCCTAGAATAGTGTAGGTACTGCCATTTCCACTCCCAACACATTGATATATGTAATATAAATTGAATTTATACACAGATAAGTGGCCCGAGCTATGAACGGGTTTGGACACTTGCCTGGGTGTGAGCGCTGTCTGCCGAAGTCGCCGACCCGTCGCGTCGAGTGCCGACTCTCCCCTCGGGCGATAGTTTTTGTGATGACCGGTTCATCGGCGACAGAAGACTCCTCCATCATGAACTCTCCACTGGCCCCCGGAGGGGTGACACCACTGAATTCCTCCACCACAGCAGGCTATCCAGACAGGCTGAGGGATTCCAGCTCGATGTCAGACACAACTCTCCAGTCGAGTTCCAGATGAACTCGGTCGGAAACGGCTCCGGCGCTCGAGCAACCGACCGTGACCTGACCTCGCGTCCCACTGCTGTCGAGCTCCGCTGCTCCGCCCGCCGACGGCCGACCCTGGCGGCGTGCGGAGCCCGTCCTCCACCGACGGTAGCGACGCGTCGAGTCCGACGGCGGATCGTCGGCACCGACAGACGGCACGGCCACGGATCAGGGTCATGATCGCTCGACGGGCGGCGTGCAGGGCTGGCGCCGCTCGGTCCGGACAAGGCGACAAACGGGGTCAGGACAGATTAGCAGTTCGGACAGACCGGTGGACGCGGCTCGGACAGACCGACGGACTGGAGAGACCAACTGGCGAGGTTAGGGCAGACCGGCGATTCGGACAGACCGCACAATCTACCGTTGACGCGGTTCGTTCCGACAGACCGGCAGTCCATGTGGAAAGGCCGGCGAACGAGGTCCGGACAGAGAGGTGGTTCGAACAGACCGGCAGTCCGGAGTGGACTTCGGATAGACCGACAGACTGGTCAGACGGACGGACGAGGTCCGGACAGACCAGCGGCTCGGACAGACCGGACAGACGTCCCGGACAGACCGGACAGGCGAGTTCCGGACAGACCGAGGATAGACCGGCGAACAAGGCACGCTTGATTCCCGGTAATTCGGTTCCGATGGCGTTCGCCGGTGTTCGGACACGCTCCTTATCGTAGGACGCCTACCAGAAGGATGTCGTGGTTCTTGGACGACAATCGATCAAAACGTTCCGCTGAGGACCATGGCTCAACACCGACAACTACATAGATGGGGAATTAGGGGCACAGAAGTAAGCGAAGGGAGTACGTAAGCTCTGGAAGCAGAAGGTATCTTAAATTTGATGGTCCTCAGATGCCGCACTTATTATAATATTCAAATATATATATATATATATATATATATATATATATATATATATATATATATATATATATATATATATATATATATATATATATATATATATGTTACAGGCAAAGTGAAAACTCGGGCATTTTGCAAAATGCCTAGGCAATTTGCAAAATGCCTGACCGGCCAGGCATTTTGCAAAATGCCTAGGCAGTTTGCAAACTCTGGCCCACCAGGCATTTTGCAAACTGCCTGAAATATTTTCCCAGGCATTTTGCAAAATGCCTGACATCAAAATCGCACTAGCGACGATGTATAGGTAAGCATCATTTGTAACTGCCGCTTACAAAAGTTTATCGCTGTCAATGCGCACCAAGTGAGGGGACACTGCGTTCTCCGGGTAGCGCCGCCGAGTTCAGGTCACTGAGCCCCAGCGGCCGTCGGGTGCCGAGCACCGGGCGTGGTTTCGTGGGTAAACATGCGCTCGGAACAATGATTGTACTGTTTCTAAGGGCTCTTGGTGGCTTTTTTAAAATACTGTGGGGGATATTGATCAGAAAAGAACACTTTTCCAATTTACGGAAATTTGATTGTTACACGTTTACATTATCAACCGTCTCTGCCGGAACAGTTGCCCACCAGGGCAGAATACTGGACATCGCAGCTTTTATACACACGGCTACAACTCCGTATGTATATACTAAAGGTACGGAGACGGTCGCTCAAGTCCATTCAGCGGTGACTCCATCCCGACAGAATTGACGCAAGGTGTAGGTATACAGAGTGTCACGAACTTGATGCGCGGTTGGCGCGGTCTTGTCCCTCCATGCCCCTCCTGAGTGCTGAATGGATGTAATTTTAACGGGTCCGGCACCAGGGCATCTGTACCAGGGCACTCTGCATCTAAATCGGCCATCCCCCGGTATCTGAAGATGTTACCCTAAAGCTGAAGCCGCTCAACCTCAGTCTGCAACCCTGACTTACCGTCATTCATAAGTGATGCAGCTGGATTTCGACAAAACCCACCAAATCTGGACCATTCAGGACAGACAATGCTGAGGCCGTGAGGCGATATTAGCCGTTTTCACGACGGCCATCTGGTACACATTTGGTTCACATCTGGTGCAGATTAGGTGCAGATTTTGTCAAATTAGGTTCAGTGCGTCTCTTAGTAGCTATCAGCTAGGGTTGTACTAATTGCTTATATGCCTCCTTTGTCATATTATCAGAAAGCATCATCGGTTAAAACACTGAAATAAATTCATAAAATAAAGATATTTGCTGTAAAAGAGATTAGGTGTAGATTTGGTCAAATTAGGTGCACTCGCCGGATAGCCCGTCGTGAAAACGGCTATTAGAACTCTTCTTAGTCACTAATCGTCCCGACAACCAGTTCTGGGCCAACAGCAGCTCAGAGGCGCTGCACCGTCGAGACGGTGAAGCACCCAATGCGTTAGGCGGTATGTACGGGTGGACATCGATAGCAGCGCCTCTAGCGGTCACTAGGGAAAGCTGGGCTGTAGGCGACGAAATACCGGCTGAGTTTTCACACATTGAATAGGTTTATAGACATCTGTCATGTGAAAGAGGTGAATGAAAAAGGTGAATGTCATCACCGTCTCGTCGATTTCTTATACGCGCCTGTTCTTGTTCATGCTGTATTTTGACAGAAAATAAATGTTTGCCCGGGTAGAAAGGTATGATATGGGTAGCAGACAGGTAAAGGACAAACGAATGAGACAAGCGGTTTCTGAAAACACACAAACGGCAGTGCACAGTCAGCACGAGCAAAACAATAGCACAAAGGGGGGAAAACATGCTAGTTTTCATGCAAACCATAGCATAGCAGTTGCCGAAGTGATCACGGTTAATGTTAATGACAATGAGGGCTTATCTTTGCCAGAGATATGACCGAAAGCAAACGACACCCAACAACACAAACATCACTCACCAGAAGTGTTTCCGATCTGACGGTGATGAAATCGCATGCAGCGCCAAGCAACATATGTACATCATAGCCCATAGGCGCATGCTACAGGCCACCATGCTTAGCAGACACAGACTGGGGTGCATGTACCTTCAATGACAAGCATGCCACATTCAATACTCATCTGTAAACAAGGGAGAGAACACGTTACGACTGACTCGGTCATCACATTCCTCCCCCTCGTTTTCGCGTAGCGAACACAACTAAACCGAATACAATACTTCTATCTGAAGCACTCCAGATCAACATCGCTCAACTGCATCTGCGTCAAATGTTGACAGCTGGGAAGCGGAGCACCCTTCAGTTCCTTGCCAACACAAAGTTCACAGCCAACACAAACGCAATGATGCACACGATCATCAACGTATCGCGCTCTAGTCAGCTCCGCGACCGCTCGAAACTAGGTACAGTCTTCAGAGCTTACTAATCACCCCGTATCGAGCTACAGCCTCGACACCACAGCTCAGGTGGCGTGCACGAGCCACCGTCGGTAAAAGTCACTCTCACGATGAACTCGTTCGCTGAATGTCGCCACTCTGAACGCACGCAACACTCTGTAAGTGTCCACTGTCGCAAGCGTTCTAAACGCGGGCGCCGCTGCCGCAGCGCGCCGCTCCGAGTCCAGCGACGGCAGGCCCCGCCGCGACAGCAAGCCGCAGCGCGACGGCAGCGCCCGCCGCGACAGTAGGCCGCGCCACGACCGCCGGTAGCACCCCGGCCGGAAGCACTGTCCCAATAGCAGATGCCGCCGCCCCAGATGACGACATCAGCGCCGCCCTCGGAGCCGCTCCAGCCGAAGACGACGCCACCATCGCCAGTCTCAGTCGTCGAAGGCGTGACAGGTGGGAATCGGGGCTGGGCAGTGATAGACGGATGAGGAAGCTCAGCCCGAGGCACAGCACATTTCTGTACAGGACGAGGAAATCGGGCCTCTTACTCCCCATCACAACCTTCAACTTCCTCCAATACGCATATCTTGGTTACCGGGCGATGATAGATCGCTCCCGATGCCGTCTTCAGCTCAGCTGAACGAACCCTTCCATCTTCTCCCGTGTACACCTCAGTAACTCGCGCTAACGGCCAGAAACCTCTGGGAGCGCTCTCTTCAGCCATTAACACTACATCCCCAACTGTCACATTTCTCGTGTCCTCCTGCCACTTGCTCCGAGCCATCAGCGAAGGGAGATATTCGCGACGCCACCTGCGCCAGAAGTGGTCGGCTATAGTCTGTGCTTGCCTCCATCGCTTTCGACTGTTGACTTCCTTATCCTGAAATCTCCCTGGAGACAGGTTCGCGTTCGCGCAGCCCAGAAGCAAGTGGTTAGGTGTCAGCGGATCTAGATCCCGTCCATCGATGCTGATATATGTGAGGGGCCGACCGTTCAGCATCGACTCCACCTCAGTGAGCACAGTGTGGAGCACTTCATCTGTGAGGCAACTGTTCCCCACAACCATTTTCATAGCTCTTTTCACACTCCCCACTAGCCTTTCCCAAACGCCTCCCATATGTGGAGCTCCAGGAGGGAGAAACTTCCATTCAATTCCTTTCTGGCTGAGCTCATCTGTGATCCTCGATTGGTTCAACTCTGCTAATGATTCTCTGAGCTCCCGCTCTCCCCCGACAAAGTTGGTCCCGTTGTCAGATAGTAGCAGCTTTGGCTTGCCGCGACGAGCGATGAATCGTCGCAGGGCGAGCAGAAAACTGTCTGTGTCTAGACTGTGAGCTAGTTCTAAATGCACAGCCCTTGTTGCACAGCATGTGAACAACACGCCATACCGCTTCTCTATCTTCCGAAGCCTCTTCACTTCCATGGGACCAAAGTAATCTATCCCGACAGTGTTGAATGCTCGCGTTTCATCGAACCGACTGGCTGGAAGGTCGGCCATTCTCGGGATTCGCGGACCACAGCGTCTGCGCTTACACTGTTGGCACTTGTGGATCACGTGCTTCACCAGCGACCTTCCTCGACACGGCCAGTAGTGTTGTCGGACTTCCGTGAGGGTGCGCTCCATTCCAGAGTGGAACACTTGCTGATGAGCGTCCGCTATAATCAGATGCGTCACTTGGTCTTCTGATGCCAAGAGCGCCGGATGTCGGCTAGCGAACGGTAGAGGGGCGTTGCCTAGTCGCCCGCCGACACGAAGAATACCCGCATTGTCGAGGAA